TAGTCACCAATGCCAAGAAATCGAGTAGCCCGAGACATACCGGAATCGATGCCACTCCAATCAGACTAACCAGCCGCAAGGTTAGCTGCAGGAATGGACGGGTGGCAAAATAGAACATGGCAAAAATGCCCATTACCGGACCGGGCAACGTGCAACTGCTGTACGACACCAGCGCCACGAAGAAGACATACATACTGCGATAGCGTTGCTGCTGTCTTCTTCGGTTCTTCTGCGTATCGTGCTGCCATTTCCGGCGTGCAATTACCAAAAAAATGCAAATATAGCAAACAAACGACAGGATCAGTGGTGCCACCATGGTGACGATCGTGAACGCGCCCGACCACAGTTGCGTTCGGTATAGAAAACTACAGGACCGCCACGCCCCCACCCGAATGGCTATCCCTGCCAGCTGACTCATGTGCATGATGACCAGAACAACCGCCAATGCCGGGGACAGAAAGGTCATCGTGTAACGAACCCCGTTGGTGGTGGCACGCGCGTACATGTGCGGATAACAGATGGCGACTAACCGGTTGACGCTAATCATCAGATCCGCCCAGTCCACCCACGTGGTCAGTCCCACAAAGAAGCCAACGGCCCCGTTGCAGAAGCGGTCGGTAATGCGTTGACTAATAGGGCTGCCTTCGTACGACAAGGCCATCAAGGGAATTCCCAGACAGCAGTGGCCCGTGGCGGCTGTCAACAGACTGACCAATAGCGGCGATGATTTGGAGCGCTGTTGGGACGTGACAACACAGAGAATCAGGAGAACGCCGAACAACGTCCCGGCGGCGCTGCAGGTTATGATTAAAGCGCTCCAGGTGCGGAGATCGCTGTGGTACTGCCGCCAGAGAGGCGTAGAATTATATATAGCTGATTGGTTAATGGTAGCGTTTAGTAGCGCCATCGACGAATAACGCCGCAACACTTTGTGGTGTATTTTGTGGAAGTCACTCGCTGCGATGAAATGCGTGTCCGAACGCTGATCAGTATATTTGTCTTTTGCAAGACCAAAATCGCACCACTAAATACAGGCAAATCATTAACCAGAACACACAATCAGCTGCCGCGTAGTAACAAATAAATGCAAGTATGTTATAAACTGACCGTAAGTACCGTAGCCTTTAGCGAACATAATGCGTTACAATTTGAGCCGAAGGTTTCGGCTAAAGGCACATAAAGCGTTTCAGCGTTAAAAGGTTTCTTCTGTGTTTCTGCTAAAAGCATAAAGGCAAACAACTCGCTGAATAAAATTACTTAGTAAAAATATGAATGCTTACATACGTGATAATACGTATTTGTATGTCGGTTAGGAGCGGTTCGCTAAGGTGCGATCGCATAGCTGGAAATCATGGGTGGGCGTCAGTGCTGCATTGTTCGGCTTAATGATGTTATACTGTACAATACACTCTTTATCCGGACCGGCTTGTACATATAATGCAGAGCTCTCAAATAATTCTTGTTAACGGCATCCCCTGCTGTACCTCTTACATTTGCTCTGCTTTCTTTTACCTTACGGGAGATTTGTGGGTGGTAAGAGCTCCCGATGCGACTGGATTAACCAGAAAGCAAATAATCCCGCGAATTGCACATGTACGATTAGGAAAATAATTAGCATTGAGCATTTTGTAACCTGGACATAAATGGAACTGTTTAACAGTCAGCATATCAGGTGGTGCCCATTAAAGGCTATTCTTTGAATTGTTTTAGAACTTTATTCGATTTAGCTTTCCCTCCAACTCGATTTTTCTCCTTTATTTACATACATAATGCCAATAACTGTCACACGAAATACAGTATGTTATTTAATTTGGATTACAATATGTTTTTTAATCGCAATCACTCTACGGTGCCTGTAATTCCGGTCTTTTTCAAGGCGTTAGATCTCCAAGCTTTAGTAATACCCAACACATACTACTGTAAAGGTAGCTAAACAGAACAATGACGTTTACAAGGACTACTTCAAAACAAAGTATGCAAAGAAACCAGGACCGGGGCAGCCACTTTATCCACTGTCAAAGTGGTAGAATTCTATGTTACTCGTATACTTCGGTAAACCTTTAATCCCGGCACCCCTTTGTCTGCTGTAATATATTCCGGCAGCCAGCTAGTTGAAAATGCAGCATGAGCAACCGCCCTCGTTGGCGACTGCACGTTTGTCATCTGCACTCGATTCAGCTGCTTTTTCGAATTTTTCTGTTGTTCGGCGCAGCATCTGTACGTACAGATGCTGCGCTGCATTTTCAACTATGCTGTGCAAATGCAATGCTGCATTTTCAACGAGCCGGTTGCCGGAATATACATAGTACAGAAGTCAAAGGGGTGGCGGAATAAGAGGTTTCTTTTAATTCAGATTGGCGAAACGATACACTCACAAGTTTCCTATAAAAGCGAAAGATTTGTACTGAATGCACAGCCTCAGCCGACTACGGAAATCGGCGGCCTAATCACACAGAACATTTCGTCTAAGTTAGCCGATACTGGTGCTGTTGCCATGACGGAGGCCGCGTTCCCGCGTTGGATTTCTATGCTGATGCGTTGGCGCAGATACTCCGTCGCCCGTACCTCGCCTGTTTCCTGTTGTATAATCTTCCAGACTTCGGTGACCAAACGAGAGGCGTCGGGTTCGAGTGGTCCGAGTGTTTCGACGCCTACTGCACGGAACAGGTAGTCTCGGGTGAGTTCCCGATACTTCACCACTTTATCCTGCTCTGCCCGCGCCGCGGCTGCCCCCGCTTGCTTGTTATAAGAGGTTTATCGAAGTATACCTTTTATTCAACATAAGAGTGTTGTGGTCGACAACAATCGGCAGAATTTGTCAGAACTGGAGCTAAATAAGTTAGACCACAGATACGGCACGGACGGAAGGATGCTCCCACTTTGATTTGGTATACGGCACCCACTTTGCTCGCTGTTTAACGTGGCGTGTGCAATAGCCAGCAGGGCAATGCAACGGCAGCAAGAGGCAGTGGTCTGACTTGTGCGGACAGCTACGGTAATTATGTATTCCAAGTTAGCATTATTGGAGCACTACGCGGTATCGCCGGTATGCTTGTAATTAGACACGCGCAAATGGATGGTGTTCACAATGTGCGCAAATCCGTTTCGTTGTTGGACGAATTCGGTATGACCTTACTCGGCCCCACCCGGGGTGTCAACTTGACCCTTCTCTCCGCCCATTTTTTCCAGACCTTGTACAGCTGATGACGGTAATCGGGGCGCAGAACGAAGTAGATAATCTGGAAAACAGAAGCCCTTTCATCATGCGTAGATAACAGGGCAACAAATTAAGATCCGTCACATACCGGAATGGATGCCACCCCAAACAGACTGACCACCCGCAGAGTCAGCTGCAAAAATGGATGAGCGACAAACTGGAACATGGCGAACATGCCCATCACCGGGCCCGGCAGTGTACAACTGCTGTACGACACCATCGCCACGAAAAAGACATACATACTGCGATAGCGTTGTCTGCCTTGCTGCTGTCTTCTTCGATTCTTATGCGCGTCCTGTTGCAACTGGCGACGTGCAATAACCACAAAGATGCAGAAATAGCATAGAAACGACAGGATCAGTGGCGCCACCATGGTGACGATCGTGTACGCTCCCGACCAGAGATACGTTCGGTACAGCAGACTGCAGGAGCACCACGCCCCCACGCGCATCGATATCCCCGCCCACTGACTCATCTGCATGACTACGATGACTAGCGCCACTGTCGGGGATAAGAAGGTCATGGTGAAGCGAACCTCATTGGTGGTGGCGCGCGCGTAAAGGTGCGGGTGACAGATGGCAATGAAACGGTTGACGCTGATCATCAGATCCGCCCAATCTACCCACGTGGTCAGCCCTATGAATAATCCAACGGCTACGGTGCAGAAGCGGTCGCTAACGGGTTGGCTGATAGGGCTGCCTTCGTACGACAGAGCCATCAAGGGAATTCCAAGGCAGCAGTGGCCCGTGGCAGCTATCAAGAGACTGCCCAAGAGTGGTGACGATTTCGACCGCTGTTGGGACGTGACCATACAGAGGATCAGGAGTACGCCGAATAATGTTCCAGCGGCGCTGAAAATGATGATTAAAGCACTCCATATACGGAGATCGGGTTGGTACTGCAGCCATATAGGCGTAGAATTGTATACGGCTGATAGGTTTGGGGTGATGTTTAATACTGCCATCGACTGCGATAGTTTGTTATCAATTGCGCAAAGGTTACTTGGCGAAATCTACTATTTTGTATGCTTACTTTCGAGACTGCAATATCGCTTTATTCTACAGCAGCCAAACGACTAATGGGAACCCACAATTAACCACGACTATTTCGTTGCGTTTAATAACAAACGCATGCGACATGGGTTTAATAAGCCGAAAGAGATTATAGGGAACATAACACATGATAATAATTGAGCCAAGGATTTCTCCTAACTGCGCACATGCGTGCATACTAATCTAGCATACGTATGAATATGTCGGAGTGGCACATTAATATGCGATCGGATATTTAGCTGGAAAGCATGGGCATATGTCGATTGTTAGTGTCAGTATTGCCGCATTGTTCGGCTTAATGCTACTATATAATATAAGACCCCACGTGATCCTTGTTAACGTCTTGTCAGCCCTTCAATTCTTTTGGGTTTGCTCTACTTCCTGTTATCTTCCGGCAGGATCTGTGGGTGGAGGGTGGAGTGATCCGGATGTCAGATTAAGCACAAAGCAGCATTCTTCCAAATTCCACGAGAAATTATCTTGGAAATTATTCTCTTGGGAAAAGCGCTGTACACAGCTGAACATACGTTAGCGCTGAACGTTTTGTACCCTGAATATCGAAGAATCTTGTTAAGTTACAAGAGTGATTCTGCTTGTGTATGTTGCCAATAAAGGTTAAAAACGTAGAAGTTTAAAAATTATTTTGTTTTACCGAGTTCGAGTTGTATGTATTAAAGAACACCCAATCATCAGTGCACCGGATCGGTTTCTGTTCTCCTTGTGATTTCATTAATTTTGGCAATGACCAGTTTTCGTACTTATGTTGTCACAACTGAGACGAAAAATTAGGAATAGTCTAAATCAGAAACATAATAAAAAAGTAGGCATCCAGTATCGCTAGTGTTACTCAGCGCTCTTTAGGTAACGTATGACAACCAGAGGTTGCCCATCTCCAGCGCTCTTTAGGTAACGTATGACAAGTTGACAACGTTAAATCAGGTGCAGCGGTGCGGTAACGGTAATCAAATTCGCACATTTCGTAAGCTCAGTCGTTCAGTGTCCGTCCAACAGGAGCCAGTGGAGTGTTAGCAGGCACGGATATAGTAAACGACGGTCCGATACGGTGGCATGTTGCTGTGCGGCAAACCCGCGCCGGTGGCGGCGGTGGTGTGCTGCGTGTTGGTATAATTGTCGTTCTGCGAGGAAAATATAATGGAACGGTCGCCAGACAGCTGATTACCATTTTGGGCACGCAGATGCATGAAATCTCCACCAGCCGTGGCGGCGTGCGTGTGCGACGGCATCTCCTCTTCCGTTAGCGTATGCTTATCCGCCCCGCCAACCGAACCAACGGGATGCTGGAAGCTCCGCCCCAATAAAAAGCGGCCTCCCAGATCGGGAAGAGTGGAGCTTTGTAGCAGTGCGTGTAATTTCGGATAACGCGAAGCTGAGAAATTGGCGCCGTTGCACTCCAGCCAACACGAACGGTTGCCGCCCACATTCGCCAACGCTATCATGGATCCAATCGGAATATCCGGGATGCTGTTGGTTCGTTCCGTGAGAGACTGCACCATTGCAGGGATGGGAGCCAGCCTTCTGGTCAGTGCTGTCAAAGCTGCACTATTGGCTTCGCACATGGCAGTTATGTTGTTGAGGAGCTCCTGTTTAAAGGCCTTTAGGCGTCGTTCCAATGTTTCCTCCATTTGACGTTAGATGGCAGAAATGATACCCTGTACATGATTGTATATTCCCGTGTTTGCTAAAGTATATGGAGTCGCTGCTGCAATCAAAAAGCACGTAATGTCCGCTGCATCGAATACGAATTCGCATATCTTATAGTCTTTGTTAAATTACACGATTGTACACATTACACAATATATTGCATACACGTGGATAATAAATACAATTTTGGTTTAACCGGCGGCACTGAAACGCAAACAATTCGCTGTACCATTTGTTCCAGATTTCAGCCACATAATTCCAGCGATCAACATCACAGCGCTAAGTTGCTTCATGCTTCAAGTTTGCACGATGTTGAAATCAGCCACATACGTATACGTACTATACGGTGATATACGCGTGTACATTAACAGTTCAATTAGGTTGGCAAAACTGAAAAATACAGTTCATAATGTCGAGCGGGAAAATTGTCATGGAAATTTTGTTTGATACTATGGAAGCATTGCACATTAGGGAATCTTGTGTAGATTAATGATATACGCTACGCAGCGCTTCGCGCTGGCTCGGTTATGCAGTCTTTAAACGATGTAAGTCAGAGAAGTGCATTAGTTTCCCTACTACAAGTACCAAGTAGTTATCAAGATTGCGATTATGTGATTTAATCATCAAGTCGCCTTACCAGGCTATAACGATAGCAAAAAGCTAATGATTTTCTCAAGGAAATTCGACTACTGGTGGCTGTCTGTGTGTGTGTGGTCTGTACGCAGAGTTTAAAAATTCTATGCTTTCACGTGCAAATTAAGTACACAAGAAAAAGTCTGAAAGTAGTGCAGCTAGTACAAATGTTCCGAATTTGTCGATCAAATATGTCGATCTGATATTTGATTGCCTCCAGAGCTCAGACAGTTCAAAGGTTGCGAGTGCATGCACCAAAATATGAAATACCCGTGAAGCGAAATACGTAGAAACCTTGAACGCATAGTATTTGCATTGTTTGAAACTGGAGTGTTGGCGGACACTGGAAAACAGTAAATACTACTGTATTCTAGCACTGAACACACCTGTCGAAGGAAAATAAAACCGGGTAATAGTCAGTTTAGTATTTATAACCAGTTTGTTGTATCAGCTACAGAAACCACGCGGTGAAATACTGTAGATTGACGTTTTCGCAGTGAACGAAATCTGATACTGGTTGCAGCGGATTTGTGACCTAATACAAACGGCATGCAAAAGATCCTTCAACCTTCAGAGGAAGCTTCGTCGCCTTCCGTTATGTCAGTAGATTGTACATTAGCGAATATCGATCTGACCGCTAATACTCCGCTTGTAATGCAGTATCATTATTGTGACTGGAGCCAGTGCTTCTTTTCTGGCTTTCATGCATCCTTGCGCCGTGGGGAAATCACAATAACAAATACCGTAATTGGACTTGGTGCACTTCGCACTGAAACATTACTGCTTTAGTGATGAAGGACAGCTGGTCGCGGTGTGATTCCCTGCCGTATCGTGTGTGCACGGAGCGGACATCTAGGGAACTTTATGGTGTCACGGAGAGCGATGCCTTAGTTGTCAGCGTCGCTGAGTATCCGCCATACAGCTACGAATCGCCGCCGGGATCCTTGTGCTTCTGCGGCCTAGCAATTTCTCTGCTCTCCCACATTTCTAGTCTGCTTAATCTAAGGTAATATTCGTGAAAAGCGTTCATGTTTTATTCCTGATATTTAATTTTTATTGAAGACAGGCCAGGGCCATAGGTGCTTCAAATTTTTTTTGTTTGCAGCCCTTATGCACAGGGCAAACTTAACGCTTAGCCTAAACTAATGCACATGATTCGGCGATTCTGATAATCGCAGCTATCTATAGGGGCTTCGGTGACCTTACATACTTTTTGATCACTAAATGCGCTGTAACGCAGTTCGCATTTAAATGCTTAAGACATTTGGTAGAGGTCACTTACTGATTTGCTCAGCTGTGCATCACGGTGCTTGTTAACAGGTTCCTTTTGGTTCCCCAACGCAGTCCAGTCTTCAACACATCGGAAGATGGCCCACCGTTCGACATCCGCAGTCATCGCGCTGACGTCAGTGTGTGCCCGTTAGGCATCACCCCGGCCCGCCTCGCGGAATGGGATCTACTGTCCATCTATACGGCGCGCACGTATCAGGTGGCCATCCATAAATCTCTGATCGTGGAAGGCGGCACCGAATCCCTCCTCCTGCACGGTATTGTCGACAGTTTCGATGGGTACAGCTGGCTCGGTATTACAGCGGTGTCGCTGTGGATGTGGGCCGTTTTCTGGGCTAGTAATGTCTTGCTCTTCCGCTTACAACGGCGCTCGGACCGGCTACAGATGTCGGTGGTGTGGAAAGCGTTCGGAAAGATGTATTGGGAGGTGTTCTACAGTTTCATCAATCAAGGTAGAAGCAACTCTTCTAGGCTCTTTTAACGTACCGGTATTTAAGAGCGGGTTGGTCTTATAAACTCTTATTGGATACGATAATTCCTAGTAAAACTTTGACACGGTTCGACCATCAATGTGTAACCAGATTATTGTCTTTTGCACCTGAAACTACTCTGTATGCTTGCGCGATTTTTCTGGGTCCAAATTCTGGCCTTTTTCGATAAGCTATGTCAACGAAACACACTAATTTATAATGTAGTTATTAGAATGTCATACGTGTACTTCTGTGTCCGATGAACAAAGCCGTGCATTTTCTAGCGGATATCCATCGATCCAAATATGTAGCGGCTTACAACATTATCGCCTTGGTGTGGTTATCGTGGACCATGATCATCTTCTACACCATCATTACCGCATCCTTGGCAAGCACGTTGAGCAATAACCCGGCAACACTGCCATTCGATAGTCCCGAGTCGTTCCTGCAGTCCGATTTTATCATGGTATCGCGTCCTCTGGAATCCTTTCAATGGAATGCCCTACAGAATCTCTCCTCTAAAGTTGTCGAATACGACACCACTTCCGACGCCTACTTGTATGACCTGGCTGCCAATACCAGCGGGCAGAAAGTGGCGGTTACCTGTATTTTTGCGGATAGTTCAGAATGTACCGATCGAGGCTTGGTGCCTGTATTCGATGCTGGGATTAAACGATGGGTGTCGTTGATGCAAATGCGGAAGAATACTTCTGTAATTCCTGATTTTAATTCCAGGTAAGGTCAAGCTGATGTATCAGAAAATACGTTGATTAATAATATAGTTTCAAGTGCAACGTACGCGTATAAGGTGCGAACTACATCCTTTTGGCTTTGCAGAATACTGCGCTTTATGCAAGGCGGCATTCCACAGCATCTGATGCGAGTACATCGACTTATTTCTTATCGCGACAAAGAGGCAGCGATACAACCAACGGCAAGGCACCGCGGACTCAACGAACTCGCCTACGCTATTACTAACGTCAGGCTGCGGCGAGTCTTTTACTGCGTTGCTGGTTTACTGTTCATGTCCGCTGCGCTCTTTTCGTATGAGGTCACAATATAGCCGCGAACATGAGGCTATGTTTGGTATTTTGCTTTTGCCTACTGTCTGACCGTTGGCGTTTTCATAATTCATCCAGCTTTCGGGATTGTGCATTTTAGTATGTACTGCAAAAGCCTCAATCAGTTACTGTACTTGGCTAGTGCGTTCTGCCGACATTGATTTCGAAGCAAGCGATTCTTCATCTTACTGCTGGAGTTCCGGCATCCGCTCGCACTCCGCATTGCGCGGGACAACCGTCCGACCTCTCTGTGTATTCAGTGCTTTTCAGAAACGTCTTTCCAATTAAACAAAACCATGCATTCATACTGCCTAAATGGCTATCGAATGAAAGTGGCATCAACGTTCCGTGGATCCGGGTACAGTTATTTGTGCAACTGTGTTTTGCCTGAGCAAACCTTTCTGTCGTATCGATCGCCTGCCAGTGCTGCCACGGGCAAAAAATAAGTGTTTGGCTTATTTTAGCGAAGTAAAGTGATGTAGTTAAAGTTTGCTGACTACTCTCGATTACGGATTATTGACGACGCGTGCCTAAGCGGTAACGATTATCGCATTTTCCTCGCACTTACGCTGGTATGGACACTATTCCATCGTACTTTTTCCGGCGCCCCACACGAAGCCACCTCGAAATCAACTACGGGAACACGGTGCTGGTTGAATGTGGCAACGGTGAGCGGTGGCTGGGATACTTACAGGATATTGACAGGGACCTTATGCTAATTGATTTCGACTGCAGCACAGTTGCCGCTGAATGGATCCACTCGCGTCACGTCCGGGCACAACCGTTCCTCAACGACGACTGGACGCTGTGGCGCTCGCTAGACCAGGAAGTGGCCTCCACCGGCAGCTGTGGCGTCCAGGTAGCGCTGCGCCGCACCGAAAACGGACCGTTTATCTTCCGCCCGGCACGTCTACTGACCCGGACGGCGGAAGTGGGGCTGTTTTACGTCAGGCTGAAGGACACGGCTCCGCATCAGTATGTGGTGATACATCTGTGGCAGGTTGCCGCCAACATGGAACTGGCTGTGGATGAGCCGCCGCTGCGTAAACAGACTCGCGGATTATATTATCGCAAGTTCACCGTTCCTTTCCAAAATGCTCATATGAATGGGACGCTAAATATGGAGGCCCTACGGAAATGCCTGTATAATGCCGGGCTTGAGAAATATCAGCGAGGACCAAATTCTGTACCCGGCGACGAACGCATTGATTTCCGCATCTTTGCCCGTATTATTGGAGGGAATCTCCATTTTATTTGCGCCCGACATCCTGAAGGGCGCGCGCATTGGAATAAGGATACTCTACTACAAGCGTACGCGAGCTGCTATCCCGCTCCCTCAGTGTTAGGCGATGTAATGGAAGATCCACAGCAGAAGTCAGTTTTTGGTATGTTTAGCATCTCTTGCACAGTAAGTCTACTCTGCCTGTTGAACTGGGATGCAATTACTTACTCGTAGACAATTCCGGATGGATTGGTGGCATGGCCCTTCCGATTATGGCCGACGTTCTTATCAGTCTGGATATGCACACGCAAGCTAAAGCAAAAAAGTAAGCAGCAACGCGCGCGCGCGCAGATTGCCATCGTCAGTTTTTTTTTGGACTGAACAAGCTAATCAGCCCATGTTTATTTGGCCACACCATAAAACCACGATTTCTTCAGTTTTCACTAAAAATATCACGCAGTGCGCCCCATGAGGTGGGGATGGATGGTCAGCGTTTCAGAACCGTATGCTCACTATGATCAACGTCAAACAAATTCCCACAATAATGTCGAAGTATGAGTAATTTTGCTTTACAGGGTATGCACTCTGTGGTGGTTGCTTCTTTCCGACATTCGTATCAGCCGGCATGTCACCATTGACAGCTCCGCCATGGTCCTGAACAAGCTGTCCATGTCGATGTGCGATGATGTGTACAGTTTGACTTGGGGCTTAAATCGAGCCATAACTGGCCATACAGAAAGCCTGATGGTGCTGGATAACGTCTACCAATCAAATTTGACTACGATTACGACAATGCTGGTGACGCTGTCGGCCGTCAAAAAGATTCAGCTACGCTACATTCTCATCCGCAATGGCCGCACTCGCGAGGGTATTAAGTGAAAACGGGGCGCTCATTATGACGACAGCGAGTGGCACTGTGACAATTTGACCCGCCTTCTGACCGTTGGTCGCCGGCTGGTCCTGCGCAATTATACCGTGGAGGATATTGTCAGCAACTGGATTATGATATTTTTGCTTCCTTATTACACTTTCCTTATCACGTTAGCCGGTTTCATCTTTGTTGGCGTGAGGCTTACTGATATCAGATTTCCGATTACGATTCCCTTTGCAACGCTGCATTTCGCTGATGGCGATGCCGGTCTGCTACGGCAGTTTCTGTCAGCGGTGGAAAGAAGCTGCCCTCCGATTGGCCCGTCGGTTTACAATCGAGTACGGGCCATTCATCGACGCTGGTTGAACTGTCTGCAGTATCCCGATCAGTGGCGTCCCATCCGACGCATGCTGCAGTTGTACGTTGGCGAAAATGATGCGTCTGCGCCGCCTCGTTTATATGCTAGTTTGATGTTGCAGGTACAGCGGGTTCCGTGCTGACGGCAGTGCACGCGACTGGGCAGATGCTGATCTCCGACTGCTGGATGTCTACACTATAACCAAGCTGGCAGTGGCCGCTATTAATGCCAATTTTAAAGTAACACCACTGAATCCCAACGCATAAAGATAGCATTATTTTGTCATGGCAATAGTACCTGCAGCTTGGGCCAGTCTAAATAAAATGTTTTTTATAATAAAATAAAATATGTTTTGGTTGTTTTTTGATTTCTGAATTGGGCAATGTTGGCCGTAGCAATAAGAATTACGACTGTTATGTCGCGATATGAACATCCATAAAGAACGATTTACTAAAAATAAAAAATATTAGACCGCCTGGTTCCGATGCTGTGTCGAGTATAGCGCTTCCCTACTAAAAAACTTGCTGCTGTTGTTCTTTATTTTGACAATTCATATAAGCGAATGGATGTCATCCCGAACGATGGATTCCACGAATCCAACTGACCAAACTCGTATCGTATCAGGACGGTCAGCTAGTTGTGTTGAGGGCTGAGAATTTTCCGATGGGCAAATCCGTCATATCTTCGACTGTTGCATTGGAAAGTGATTAATCATGAGGTACAGTGGATTCAGCTGGCTGCATATGATCAGAGCCTGCTCCACGAGTGCGCCGAGGATGCTGCCGTCCAGGAAGATGTCGGTGGAGTTTACGGACACCTTCACGGAGACAATGTCCAGTTGGCAGGCGGAACTGTCAACGGTGCATGCTTCTCTCCAGTTTATCGCCATGATTAAGTAGCTCACCCAGTGTCGTTCGCACATACAATATACTGAATGCAGACATCATGTATTTACATAAATACCAGTACCGTGTACATGGAAATTATATTATGGCCATCAAATAACGGTTAGGTAACCTCCGTCTCAGCAACCATAGTTTTTTCTTCCTAGGTCTTTCTGTTCTTTTTCTTGTCATAGGGCTACCAATATTGATGCATAAATTCATAATCGTACTGTTGAACTACAGTATGTAAGAGTATTAAAGGTAGCACAAAGTGTTGATCTTACAAAATTAATTACCTGCACACAATCCCCAGTATGGCTTATTTTTCAGTATTGTACACTGCAAGACGAAAAACACGGACTGCACAATTATTAATAATTATTGAAGTGCATTATCCTTATTTTATTGCGCATCACCATTCACCGCCATCTCGAAGCTTCGGTAAAATACAGTAATTAGCGATGTGAAAGAGTAAAAAAAACAAATCCGTTAAGCGGTACAAAAACATTCGCAAAGACCAAAGCGAGAACACATCCACTTTACCCATTGTCAAATTGTCAGAGCTGCATTATACTTCAGAACAACTAGAACACGTGCAGCGTGCTTCTGATCGGAAACCAGTCAAGTGATACATAGTTTTGATGGTATTCACAATCTGCGCGGTTCTATTTCGTTACTGAACGAATTCGGTACAACTTTACTCGGGGCAACCTGCGCGGCGTTCCTGACCTTTCTATCCACCAATCTTTTCCAAACCGTGCGCAACTGATGGCGGTAATCGGGGCGCAGAACAAAGTAAATAATCTGCAAACGATAACAAATTTTCTGCCAGCTACAGAAGATAATCCGAGACATGACATACCGGAATGGATGCCGTTCCAAACAGGTTGACCACTCGCAGTGTCAACTGGAGGAAGGGGTGGGCGGCCAACTGCAACTTGGCAAATGTGCCCAGGAACGGACCGGGCAGCGTACAGCTGCTGTACGACACCAGTGCCACGAAGAAGACACACATGTTGCGATAGCGCTGTTGCTGGCGTTGCCTCCGCGTTCGGCTTTTTTGAATATCGCGCCGCCACTTCCGGCGCGCAATTACCAGAAAAATGCAGATATAGCAAAGAAATGACAGCAGAAGCGGCGACACTGTGAGCGTCGTGTACGCACCGGACCAGAGATGCGTTCGGTACACCAGACTGCAAGAACGCCACGCCCCCACGCGCATGGAGATCCCTGCCCACTGACTCATCGGTAAGGAGACTAGGATAGCCGCCACTGCCGGAGATAGAAAAGCCATGGTGAAGCGCACCCTGTTGGCGGTGGCGCGCGCGTACATGTGCGGATGGCAGATGGCGATGAGACGAGTGACGCTGACCATCAAATCCGCCCAGTCCACCCACGTGGTGAGCCCCACGAAAAGCCCGATGGCCACGGTGCAGAAACGGTCGCTGACGGGTTGGCTGATGGGGTACCTTCGTACGACAGAGCGATGAAGGGAATCCCCATGGCACAGTGGCCCGTTGTGGCTACCAACAGGCTGACCAACAGCGGCGACGATTTTGAACGGTGTTGGGCCGCCAGAATACAGAGCATCAGGAGTGCGCCGAATAATGTTCCAGCGGCGCTGAAGCGATGATTAAAGTGCTCCAGATGCGAAGCTCGGTTTGGTACAGCAGCCAGATTGGCGTAGAATTATATATGGCTGTGGTGTTCTCGTGAATCTGCGTTTACGTATTATTCCTGTTGTACTCAGCAACTCTGTTACTGCGTGTTTGCCACTTGTCGTACTTCATATTTAGTCATCCTGCGAGCTCGCTCCTGTCAACCTGTATTATTAAAGTCATACTTATTTACGTACTTCTTTACATACGTGCATACATCACAATTGGCGTGGAGTTTCGAACTTATGCTGGTTTCTTCGTATTCCTTACGGCTTCGATTTACTACTGTTTTTCGTCAATTTGCTACGCCCTTCTTATGCTATCGTGGGTGAGAGGATTGCTACATCCTGCCTAGGACTCCGCCCACGAGTTTGCTGATGCATCCCCATTACTGGCTTCTCCTGCCACTACTGCTTAGGCGACAGATGCTCGCTCCCTTTCTACTCCACAATGCTGGATAAATTTGGATTCCTGCCTGTTTCGGTACCGTAATGCTGTACCATCTACTTTAGCGTTCCGCCCTGGAACACAGTTCAGAAAACGACAGGATGATCCGTAGCCATGTACAGCAACATATTTTTAGGAGCCAAACAGTAATCAATGTCTTCGCAATTTTAATTTGGTAAATAATTTCGGTAATGTACTTTCAAAATTTTACGTTAATATTTTTGCACAAAAGTCACTCAGAAAGTTATGTACGATTATGCAAACAACAGCGGCAAAATGAGAATTATGCAATTCAAATGTCTAATTTGGCCAGAATTATTCACTAAAATCGAAAATTCGCAACAATGCTACCGATGATCACAAAACGATAAAAACTCACTGAAGGACAACTGGCAAAATGATGAGGGCGGTCGGCTTTCTGGTATCCTGTCGGGTTGGTTCGGAAACCAGGAGCGCCATGTAACAGCAGCCGGTTTGACTGCTGTTCTAGTGGGTTGGTTAATCCACCTTACCACGATCTGTCGGCTGTTAGTGTGGGAAAGGCTGGCACGGTCGGCAGCGATGCTGACCGGAAGCTGACTACCGTTTACATGGTGGCAATGATGGGAGATGCACGATCATCCCATGGCGATTACGCAGCACAACACAAGGTCATCGCAGGTGTTTATTAGCAAGTACACAAAGCAAGATTCGGCGAGCAACGCAAGCTGAGGAGCAAGAACGCATAAGCGTGGGCAAGAAGCGCGGAAGGCGCGTTAGCAAGAAGTGCATAAGCACAGGGGCAAGATTCAGAGCAAGCTGCAGCAAGACTAATTTCAAGATGTTTCTGACCGTGTGATGCGGTCGGTAAAAGTGGGAAAACTAGGATTCTGATCCTCATAACACAACAACCAATAAACAGTAGAGAAAGGCAATTAACACTCCTACTGGCGGTACATCTAATTTCTATCGCTACAATATGTACTACGATATCCGCTACCAGCTGACCTTCACGGTGTAGCGCCAGTGGATTTGTTGGAATTTTCCACTTCGCCCATTACTGGACGATATGGATACCTGGTCCTTCCCGCCAGCGGGATGAATTTGAAGATGTTGCCATGGCTGACATAGTTCATTTGCTCCATGCAGCAAGCCCCATTCTCAACCAACGGCACCGTATGTACGATGTGTTCAGCGTACAAATACCAGTACATATCCTTCCTGTGATTCTAACACGTACTACGTAGCACGTACCGTATAACAACACTACCGCTTCCTTGGATACCGGTGCGTATCAGCTAGAGAAGCGCTGTTCCTGACGTACAGTACAAGAATGCAACCTGCAGTGCCATCCAAACGGCGCCGTACTCGACTGTTGGACTGCCGAAGTGAAGTACTTAAGTACAGTTTTTATATTAGTGTTTGTTTACGTGGATTACTTAACTTACAATAATTATACGGTTGCCTGGTTATTCATACAATTTCGTTCGTTCATACTAGTACTGTTCCTTCATACAGTGCACGTACAATTACAATTTCCAATTACAATTTCCTGATTGCATTACGTATTGTCGTGCAATATAAAAACAAGCGTTTGCGTGTTGTTGTTATACCACTTCCCAGACCACGACCAGTCGGAGGAATAGAGCGACTCTTAATCTCAACTTCTTATGTATTTCATGGAGCGAAAGGTTAAGGATGTTGATGTACAAGTATGAGATGATATGCAAGGATGAAGAAGAGGATCCGGAACTCGAAAGCCTGCTGAAAGAGAAGACACGAAAGGAAACACAAGGGATGCGTGAAGTTATACGTTACCTGTCAGACGCTAGATGGTAGCTGAAGCGTATGAGTATGACAAATCCATCAACCTGGCGCTACAGGGCATGAAAATCGAAGGGACCGAAAGGTCACGGCAAACAAGGGGGATCAAGTGGGTAGCCTGTTACGTCACGAGACTATCCAAAGATGATAATGCACGTCGACGAAGTAGAGGAATGACCCCTGACAATAGGTGAAAGGTCACCCAGAGGTCAGTTTGAACAGCCTCACTTGGAAAGAGAAGACCAGAGCAAAAGCCTGAAGTTAATCAGATCGAGTAACAAGACTCTACTTTTGTTGGGATTACAACTCTTGACATTACAATGGGCGACGAGCGCCTTATATAGCCCTGGGCACCGCAAGTGCTGGCTCTTCGTACGCGCAGGTACGGGTCTGAGAACAATAGGGATATTAACTCTAGCCAATAGAAGACATCTAAGGACACGTGGACTAATCACACCGCTACATCTCTACACGTGGATTAATGAGAACAAGAGGTCAGCTAGTACACTAGAACAATAGGTTGAGCTCGTTGACCGAAGCGCGGTCACGTCGA